TGTGCTTTTAATTGTTTATAAATTCACTTTAATATTTTCAATACTAATAATTTGTGTTGCTATGTCGAATAATTTTTTTTTAACTTTTTCAAAAAATATATATTTCAATAAATTAAAAGTTGTAGTTTTTTGTTTTTATTCCGTGTCAATTAAAAATATTTTTAAATACCATAAGATATTTTTTGCGAAGTGGAATTTAATAAACATTTAACATAACAGCTTAACGTATAGACAAGCTGAGGTGGAAAGGTTTGGTTTGACTGAAACTACCAGTTGATCAAAGATGACGAGTTTCAATGACTTGATTATTAGGATAAGCAAGAGATGATGGGAAGTTGCTATGTTCGTAAAATGTTCTTATTTAAACTGATTTTTGATGAAAACTTTATATCTAAAACGACAAAATTACAAACCATTTATAACTTATAAACTTTTTGTTCAAAAATAATTTTAACTTTTGTTAACTTGTAATATAAAAGCTCATAAATCGCATAATATATATTCAATGAGACCAGTGGTTTCCATTATCGGCACTCCATCTTAAGACTCTTCAAAATATCTTGTTAAAATAATACAACCAACCAATCAATTGAAATCTACTTTGGGCAATGCTATATTTTATATAAAATGCAATTGGAATTTTACTGCCATTAGACTATCACTTATGGTCGTTGTTGCAAAGGCATCACGACGTTATTTTTGTCCTAATTGCTAGTTTGCGCGTGATTTCATTTCTCACAGTCATAGCCGGTGGAAACCATGTAAAAGTAACTATAAAACAAACAATATCGAAATAGACCAAATAATATCGAAAGTTTTCTGTGAGTGGTTTCTATCGGTACGGTGTTTTGCGGTCTTTTTAATAGACCAAACAATATCGAAAGTTTTCTGTGAGTGGTTTCTATCGGTACGGTGTTTTGCGCCAAAGTTTTAAAAACAAACACAAACTTTCCAAAGTAAACTTATTGAAAAACATAAGATAGAAAACAGACAATCGGAATTGGATATAAGTCTCTTACAGCCGTGTCAAATACCGAAATTAAAGATCGGTGTTTATACGCAATGTTAACAATTCAGCTGCTAAAAAAAATCTAACTCAAAAAACGCATAAAGTTTTTTTAAACGCTGAATACATACCGCAACTATTAAAAACATTCGCAAATGCAATAGCTCAAATACTCAATCACAAATCATCCACAAATCGACGCCATGTTGACCACAAATATAAATGAAAAAACTAAAATCGATAAACAGCTACACGCATCAAACTCCAACAATGATGAAAATAATTTTACTTTAGTGTGCCGAAATAGTAAATCTAATCACAAAACACATAAATTGGCTAAGGACACGTCTTTCCATGGAGATTACTAGAGCTTTTCTACTCTGCTTAAGAGGATCACGAACCCCATTTAGGACGATGACGATGACGATGACGATGTTGGCCAGGAAAATGTGCAATGTGAACTTATTTAATTTGTATTTTTAAATTGTTTTATTAATTTTACGGAGTTTTTAGTTATATTATCATTAAACTTGACCATCACAAAACACATAATCGTTCATTTGTAAAAAAAACATAGAATTTCGGAGCTCGTGTTCAGAACAAAAATTTCTGATAATAAAACAATTGCAGGTAAAAAATAGTTCGTAAATTTGACATTTTTGTCAGAGGAAAAGCAATCAAATCAATATAGAACTTTTTAAAAACTAGAAACAGGAATAGGAATCTCCCCCCTATCTGTTATATTGAATAAAGAAAATGAATTCAATAGACCATACAAAGTTTCCGTAAATAGCACAGAAAAAAATATAATATTTAATCCTATTTTATGGGATAACAATTTAATAGTTAAACCATACCGATAAAAATGTTTATATACTAACATATCTCAAAATCTGGAAACTAACGGAAACCAGGATGATTTTTATAGATCAAAATGGATTTAGGTAATATTTTTAAGGAACTTCCAACAACATTTAATTTATGTACTTTTAACCGCCACGGTCTAAAGTCTAATTTTGAGTATACCAAATCGTTGATTATCTCTCAAGACATAACTTTTATATGTGAACACTGGTTATCGAATTTAGAACATTTCATAATAAAAAATATCTATAAAAATACCCACTCTTCGTTCTTCCAACAGGCTAACAAACACGGACAGGGTCGACCGTTTGTCGGAAACATTTGTTTCAAAACATTATTATTCTATATGAAGATAATCATATCTTCGCAATAAGTCTTTTAAAAAATTATACTAATATTATTTTATTGGCATTTATCTTTCATCGTCGCGCAATAGCCAAATATCACTGTAGAATTACAAGAGTCAGTTGGATATATTTTCAGGTGTTATTAATAACTACGAGGGTGTTGCTGAATTTATTGTTCTTGGCGACTTTCAATCTTTTCCTCATGGAATATATGATTCATTAAAGAGCTAGCTCTACGAAAAATAACTACTCCGTAGTTTTATCAAGTTTTATCAAAAGTCGAATTAACTTGAATTAGTGGACGTAACAAAAGGCTCTGGAGCTAAGATAACGTATCACCGTAATACATTACCAAACGCATCTAACATAGATCATATAGCTTTCTCAAGGTATACGTCTCTTCTTTATTCCAATTGTTTCGTAATTCCTTTTTTTATCTCAAAACATGAGTGATTTTTTACCAGTATCGATTGAAGTTGGAATTATTGGACAATCTTCTAAAGAAAACAATCATAAAAAACTCAGACAAGTACAGCATTCCAAATTATGCCTGGAATAACAATGATTTTTTATAATTATTTAACAACCGCTTAAATACTAATTTTAATTTTTACAATTTTACGTATGACAATTACGATGAAGAACTTATCAAAGTATATACTGTTATTACAAAACCAGCATCTGAGGCACTTAGTCAATTTTTATCCGTAAAAAAAACCGTTATTGTATTCAAAATCCTGGTGGACACCCGAGTTAAGCCGTAGCAAAAATGTTCTTTCATTTTATTTTAAAAAATACCGGGAAACTGGGTTCGTTAAAGACTTAAACTCGCAAATTTTTATTTGATACCGTAGGAACAAAAGTTTTTTCGCAATGCTGTAAAAAACGCTCAAAACAAAAACCTTTACAAAAAATACATAAAAATCGAAACGTTAAAAAATATAAATCCAAAATATTTTTGGAAAACTTTTAGAAATATAAAAAAAGATGCAAATACGAAATTGTACACCATAAATAATAAAAAAGATAAAGAATCGATCACGAAAGAATTTGCCAACAGTTTTGAAAATCGATTAAACTCTAAAGGAATCACATATACTTCTACAAATTTAAAAATTCCACCTTGTACAAAATTCGATGAAGTAATAATATCGGATGAAAAAATAAAAACGGTTATTTCTTGCCTTAAATTAAAAAAATCCAAGGACGCCTTCGGAATATCAGCTGAACATTTAAAGAATGCGAACTGTGAAGCACTAACAGAATCGCTCAGAAAATTCTTAAACTTTTCTATTAATCATGGACAGACCTCAAAATCGATGTCTACATCACTTATAATACCACTCGCTAAATCGTATAAAAAACTGATCCAAAAAACTACCGCGGCATTAGCATCATTCCAATCTTTACGAAACTAATAGAATATCTTATCCTACTAATCCGTCCAGAAATAAAAGAAGCTCATCCTCTTCAATTCGGTTTCACTAAAAATAGCTCAATCCTACACGCTGAAATAGTTATTAGTCAAAAAAATAAAAACTACAACAACAACAACTCACCTGTCTATCTCTGTTCCCTAGATGCTGAAAAAGCGTTTGACAGCTGCAACTGGGACATTCTGTTTGAGAGACTGTGCAGTGATAAAAAACTCCGTTTGTATATTGTTAATAACATATCGTCATTATATTATGAAAGCAGTGGATTATTAATTTTATTTTCACATTGCGTATAAACACCGATCTTTAATTTCGGTATTTGACACGGCTGTAAGAGACTTATATCCAATTCCGATTGTCTGTTTTCTATCTTATGTTTTTCAATAAGTTTACTTTGGAAAGTTTGTGTTTGTTTTTAAAACTTTGGCGCAAAACACCGTACCGATAGAAACCACTCACAGAAAACTTTCGATATTGTTTGGTCTATTAAAAAGACCGCAAAACACCGTACCGATAGAAACCACTCACAGAAAACTTTCGATATTATTTGGTCTATTTCGATATTGTTTGTTTTATAGTTACTTTTACATGGTTTCCACCGGCTATGACTGTGAGAAATGAAATCACGCGCAAACTAGCAATTAGGACAAAAATAACGTCGTGATGCCTTTGCAACAACGACCATAAGTGATAGTCTAATGGCAGTAAAATTCCAATTGCATTTTATATAAAATATAGCATTGCCCAAAGTAGATTTCAATTGATTGGTTGGTTGTATTATTTTAACAAGATATTTTGAAGAGTCTTAAGATGGAGTGCCGATAATGGAAACCACTGGTCTCATTGAATATATATTATGCGATTTATGAGCTTTTATATTACAAGTTAACAAAAGTTAAAATTATTTTTGAACAAAAAGTTTATAAGTTATAAATGGTTTGTAATTTTGTCGTTTTAGATATAAAGTTTTCATCAAAAATCAGTTTAAATAAGAACATTTTACGAACATAGCAACTTCCCATCATCTCTTGCTTATCCTAATAATCAAGTCATTGAAACTCGTCATCTTTGATCAACTGGTAGTTTCAGTCAAACCAAACCTTTCCACCTCAGCTTGTCTATACGTTAAGCTGTTATGTTAAATGTTTATTAAATTCCACTTCGCAAAAAATATCTTATGGTATTTAAAAATATTTTTAATTGACACGGAATAAAAACAAAAAACTACAACTTTTAATTTATTGAAATATATATTTTTTGAAAAAGTTAAAAAAAAATTATTCGACATAGCAACACAAATTATTAGTATTGAAAATATTAAAGTGAATTTATAAACAATTAAAAGCACATTTAAAAACACCAAATAAAGAAAAAATTTTAACACATAATAAACATAAGTTAATTGTATCTTACCCTACATGCACATTTAAAAATCTCAAATTAAAAAGTATCTTTAAAGCACATTTAAAAAACACCAAATAAAAGTGTTTGAGATATAAAATTATTAACAACATGCAATCTTATTAACACACAACTTGTTGCAATGTAAATACAATTTCTCAATAGCATTAACATTAGGCCGGGTGAATAAAAATGAGCAATTGCTTTTACTCAGTAATTGGTCAGCTTTACGTGAATAAAAACTTAAGTCAAATTCTTATTCGAGTAAAGTTAAGCAATTTACTCAGTAATTGCTCAGCTTTATGTTAATACAAACTTAAGTCAAATTCCTTATGCTTTTATTCGCGTAAAGCTGACCAATTGTTGAGTAAAAACAACTGCTCATTTTTATTCACCCGGCCTATTGACTAGTCAGGGATTGTAGCAGATTTTTTTAAGGTTTCAAAAAGATAACTTTCAGACACGGAGCACACTTCAAATTTCTTGTGTATGTTTATGGCTTACATAAAATAAAAATGCTTTGCAAAAAATTGCTGCAATTGGAGCCTTGTAATAACAAAAACCCTAAAAACTGTGCCCCCAACCCCAATTGTGAGGGCAATAGTTTACTGAGTTTTACATCATCACTACTTTAAACTAAATTTATATTCATCGATAGACTTGAAATCACGCGCAAATTAATCCAATAATATTTAAGTGTTCTTTTGTAAAATTATGACCATGTAAAGTTTCTAACTCCCTTATTTTGAAAGGTTTGTGATTTTTAATTTTTTGTAAATCTCATTTGTTATAAGCATAAACATGCCCAGGAAGTTTGAAGTTTCACTTCAAATTTTTTGGGCATGTTTATGCTTATTTATGCTTGATCTTTCAGACGCGAAGTGTCTGAAAGTTATCTTTCTAAAGCATCAAAAAGTGCTGCCACAATGCCTGCTGTTAAATAAATAAATATAAAATGGTAAATAAAAATTATAATCATACTGTTATGTATAACATGAACACTATTACAAAATAGAAATCGTCATAATGCAGTATTATTATCATAGGCCAATATTTACTTTTTCTTGCATGACCATGGAGCAAAAGTATTTAACTGACTTAATGGTGTCGGGTTCTGCGTCCAACGAATAGCTTGCTCAACAGTCACAAAGTATACATCAGGCAGGCGAGAAATTTCGGATAAAAACTTTTTAAAACCTAATAGAAAAACATTTATCTTTATACATGATGTATGCAATAACATAATATCATTTAACTGAATTTTATTTGAAATAAAATTTTATGGCTTTGATAAATTTCTGATAAAAGCAATTTCTAGTAAATACATTATAGACAAGAATGCATAAAGTAAACATGTACATGTAAAAGTTTAATCACCTAGTTGCCTGTAAACAAAACTTTCGTGCAAAAAGAATGCAGAATGTCCAAATAATGAAAATGGTTGCTTTTTATCTTTGTAATGTCGGTTAAAATTATACATAAAGTTTTTATAAACATTTTCACTTGAATCATTTAAACTACGAACACAACTGTCAAACATGGAGCATTCAGGACCGTTTTCACCATCATATAAAGGATTCAGAGGGACTTCCCACAAACCTGGGTAAGATACTAATGAAAAAATTGAAACATTAACAAATGCATATCAACTACAGTAAAAAGCATTTTAAATGTAATCTACAAATACATTGAGTTTTTTGACTTACACTCAGGACATGGCTCATCAACACATTTAGGGATTAAGTAGTCTAATGTGAAAGGCCACCATTTAGTTCCAGCATGAGTAGACAGTGAAGTATCATACAAGAAATTGTTGTCAGCCAGAACCTAAAAATATAAATAAATCTCAAATACAACGTAGTTTTTTATCCTGCTTAGGTTTTTCAAGTAAAAGGTAATGTTTTACCCTGTATAAAGTTTCACCAGGTCTTAAAAAAGGTGTTCGCCATCCTGTAACTTTTGCCCCTGACTTTTCTTCAAGCGTTTTCTTTTCTCCAATAATTTCCAACTCAAGTTCGCTATATGTGCTCTAAAAGAATAATTAAACTACACAATAATAAAAAAATTATTACAAATTCAAACTTTTCACATAACAACTAATAAAATTAGAAAAATATTTAAACAATAGAAATAAAGTTAAAAAATTTAAATAAAAAAATACACACACATACACAAAAAAAATACAAACAAAAATAAAAAATGTGTTATTTTTTTAAATTAAATAAAACATAAGTTTAAAATCGTACATCTTTCCACCAAAGATTAGGACTTCTATGTGTTATTGAATGGTCAGCAATTTCATGACCTGCAATTAATATAAAACAATGATTAAAAATAAAAAAAAAATTTCATAACAAAGTTGATGACAAGTTGATGAAAGTCTGTTTGAAGCGCGCCATGTTAGCTATATCGGTTATAGCCTTAGAATGTATATGTTTTATATATATATCTACTAGGGTTATGGCCCTTATCTTTTTCCTATTGTATCATAAATAATAAAAAATATTAAAATATTAGATTAATGAAACCTTTTTGAAATAGATTTTTAACAAGATTGAAGTCTGTATATTCACCAGAAACATAGTATGTAGTTCCAACAGGACAACCGTTGGGGTTTTTCATATTATTGAACAGTTCCATGTAAAAGTTATAATTTATAGCATTGACTGCATCATCCATTGTCCACATGACAATTTGTGGGATATCTTCTTTGCGAAGGTTTCCTGGAATCTCCTCACTAGCACATCGGCAGTTTGGAAGTTTACATTTACTTTGCTCACATAAAATGGCTTTTACTAAAACATGTTGATTTTTTTATAACTATTTATTATTTACCATTTAGTAATTTAAATATAAATTTTTAACATTTAAAATGTTTAAAACTTAGAAACATTAATTTTCTCACCATAACTTTTTTGGTTAGAGGCACTATTGCTACTCCTTGTAGTCAGTGTAGCTGGGGCAGAAGTTGCAATTGAAAAACTGTTTTCTGAAGTTTTAACTATATTATCTGATGCTTGACAGCTTGAAGTCCATGTACATGAAAGTAAAGTGTTATCCCACTTTAATGATGCAGGACAAGCAAGCTGAATTTTTTGACCGTTGTTGCAAATAAAATACCTGCTGCAATTATTGGGGTCTGAATAGTATTTACCATTCTCACATGTGTCCGCAACTGCAAAAAGTATTTTCTATTAAAGTTTTATTTCATTAAAATTATTTAAAGTACTAAAAAATATTTCCATATTTATTACTAATTAACTATATTAAATATTAACAAATAAAAATAATAATAATAAAAAAATAAAAAACACTAATATACCTTTAGGTATAGAAGCAGTCGAAGGTAATGTAGTAAAAAATTTGGGTGTGGTTGTTGTTTCTATAGCGGTAGATGCTTGGAGAGTTTCAATTGTAAACGGAAGCTGTTCTTGAGTAGTGACAATTTGAGTAACCAACTCTGTAGTAAGAGGAAGCGATTCCGACGACAGAGTAGGAAGCGATGAAGAAATTTGACATGTGCTAGAGCTCCAAAAACATGTCAATAAAATATTGTCCCACACTAATGGTAAAGGGCAAGTAAGTGGTAATTTTTGTCCATTAGAGCAGGTAAAATATACGCTGCAATTCGCTGCGTCATGATAAAACTTCCCAACTTCACATGTACTCGAAACTGCTATAAATAAAAATTTAGAAAAATACAAAAACTAAGAAGGTTCTACACTAAAAAAATCAACATACAAATTTATTTTGACTTGAAAAAATATTCGAAGATTCTTCTGAAATATCGTAGATATGTTATATCAGATTTTTCGAATTTCGTACCTTATTTTTAATTTAAAATGAAATTTATATTTTGAATTTGTTTATTTTTGTTACTGCTGTTTTTCTTCGATAATAATAATAAAAGTATGTTAAAAATTATGTTTTGAAATGTTTCTCAAAAGTTTGTTTTCCTGTTCTATTTTAATTAAGAGAACACTGAATACAAACAAAATCTTGTTCCCACGGTAACTGCATGGACTGTCAAATTTCTAAACGTCGGCAATTTTTATTTCTCGAAACTTTTTTGCTATCACATTTCGTATTCTTTGTACAATTTGTATAAAAAAATGTGTTTTTTTAGTTTTATTTTATCCCTTCTCAATTGCCAAAAATAAGAGCAAATAGTTATGATATCAGACTATTAAACTATTTCTAGATAACCATCGTTTATCTAATTACTAAAAGGTGGCCATTCAATAAGAAAAAGAATCAAAAGTTTTGTTTAAAAATATTTACCTTGCGGTAGAGGTATTGTTTCACTTGGCAGTACCGAACAAAGCAAAACAAAAAAGTACCATAAAATTTCCATTTGTAATCTTTAATAGTCTTTTATTTAGTTTTAAACCAGTTAGCTACTTTCCGTTCTTCTTTCTTTTATAGCAAATTATACAATTTTAATACAAGCAATGTTTGATTTGTCTCTTATTTAATGCAATGTTGATTTGTCTCTGCTATTTATTCATTGTTTGAGACAATTTTTTTTTGAAATAGCAATTACGAAAACAATTAAAATGACAATTATGGGAGAAGTTTCATCTTATTACCTTGATTTGTTGAAAACGATGTTAATTAGGAAATTGTGTCAGTAACAAGTATAACTTGTTATCAGGATCATTACGGTTGGAACTTTTTGAACAAAAAAATTAAAAATAGGTATGATTACAGAATATATTAAGACGGTTTTAATTAAAGTTACCTTAAGGTAAGCTTACCCCCGGTTAATATGAATAATATTAACCGGGGGTAAGCTCTTTGAATTAAACACATTAAACACGTATTCGCCTTTGATTGCGCTATTTTCAATAGGTCTGGCGGAATAGTATCGCAAAATTTTTATTGTCACAAATTTGATTGTCGAAAATATAAACAAGGAATAGTGTCGCAAATTTTCGCACTATTGATTGTCGAATAACAGATTAAGGAATAATCTCGCAAATGAATTGAATGAATAGTTTCGAAAATAGAAAAAAAGGAATAATGGCCTAAAGGAGTTTATTGATTATTAACAAAAATAAAAAAATAATAACAACTATAAACGTGTGTTTAAACACCATGTTTGATGTCATACTGAAATAGCCTGTTGCATGGGGCTTCAGTAGATACACTAACTATCGTATAGCCTACTGCCGCAAAGGAGTGCCGTTAAATCGACTGAGGGTTTGGGTTCGGTAGCAACCTTTTCTTTCATTATTCTTTGTTTTTTTCTTTTTTTTTCTGTAAAAGCCATATGCTATAAAGATAAGCAAAACGAGTAAGCAGTTTCTGAACTATTTGCGACACTATTTCGTTTTTACTATTTGCGACACAATCTCTATTTTTTTTGTTTGCGACACTTTTCATTAAATTCATTTGCGACAATATTCCTTTTTTTGCGACATTTGGTCTTTTCAAAATATATTTGACACTATTATGAAGTTCATTTTTCGACACTATTCCTGTCACCCAACTATTAAAAGGGTGACAGGATTAGTGTCGAATAGATAGTCAATAGATTTATCCACTTATGAATGCATACTTTCTATTTTAACAAATTAACTTTCATACGTTTTTTTTTCAGATACCTAAATTATTACAAGCACTCGAAAATGGATGACAGTACCAACATTATTTATATGCTCACGCGACATTATCTATAAGGATAACGTTGCGTAAGCAAATAAATAGTGTTTTTTACGTTATTTTTTATCATCTTTTTTATTATTTTTTTTTATAGGTCGTATCTATATGATGCCTACAACATAAAACTTGACAAAAACCCCATAAAAAATTAATTAGATTTTATGAATGTTATTAATTCTATTCTTATTCTCAAACTTTTTTGCGTAAATTGTACCAGTAACCAACCTTATCAAATTGATGTGAAATTGAATTGCGATCGGGTAATTGCCTAATTAGAATAACTGGTTTTTGAAAAAGTTTTTATCTTATTATTTATTTCTTATTTTAGAACTTTAAACAAGTAATAGGTAAATATTTCTAAAATATAAATGTTAATAAAAACTCAAAACGAAAACAAAAATTAATACAAAACTTTTTGTTTCAAAATTTAATTCAAATTCAACTTAAGAATTTATGTAGTTGTAAAAAATTTATGAAACTTAAGAAATTATGTAATTTTGAAAAAGATTTATGCAATTGTGAAAAATTTATTTCGCTTATTTTACTTAAAAAAAAAAAAAAACAATCAAAAAATAATATAACCTAAAATTGCTACCAACACTAAGGATTAATTCCGAATAGAACTGTATATTCGGCCAAAATTATATAAAGGTTTACGAAATTAATAAGCTTTGTAGTCAAGTCAGATAAAGGCAAAATCATAAATTTAATTAACCGTTATACTTGCTTTGAGAACAGTTAACCCCTCTAGATACCACAATGCGCAACTTCGATTTTAGCTGTATTGATTTCTCGTTGAAAGTCAATAATAAAATTAGATTTTCAACAGAATCTAATTTTACATTTTTCATTATGAATAATAAAAATCACTTTGGTATATATAAAACAATGTATACTAAAGATTTACCAAAAAAATTTGTCACATCTGTTAAACAAATCAAACCATTTTATATAGCGACGTTTATGAAGTATACTTCGTAAATCTTCATTATAAACATGGTTGGTTAAGTATATTGGCAACGTAATACTCTTAATTAAATTTAAACGAAATTTCGATTATATTAGATTAATATAGAAGCAATATAAAATAAAATTTTAATGTTAATTAATTTTGTGCGCGATTATGCTTTAAATTATTTTATCAAAACAAACTAGAAACCTCTGGTTGTAAGTGTTTTAAAACTATTCAAATCTGCATTTGATATAATCTGTTTAAAATGGATGCGCAGTCATCAGGGTAGAAGAATAACTACAGATAACTTAGGGTTAACCTTTGGTGAAGTCTATTTAAAATTTGCAGTGTCTGCTATTGCAAAAATGCAAGTATTTTACCTCTAAATATCCATGTCTTTTCTATTATTAAATTAATTGCATTTCTTAATATTGTTCTTTATGATGACAGCTGGTTTCCTAGACGCTAGACAGTTGGTTTCCTAGACGTAATTGTGAAAAATTTATGAATCTTTTCAAAAAAGGAAGTAAACTTAAACTTTTTATTCTAAACTTAAACATTTTTATTCAATATCTTTAACTTAAATCCCCTGCAACATCTTAAAATAAATCGTAGCTAACAAATCAAATATTTAAATACCATTAAATTTTTGACTATTCATCAACGAGGATTTAAATAAATTAGGATAACAATTCCTTTAGAGTTTTGGTCCCAAAAAGAGGCTGAACCGTTAACATGGTTATTTATCATAGGGTAACTGTTAAACTTTTAAATTTGCATAGTTGTTTTATAACAATGTAAACTACAATCTGTGCCACTTTCACGTTCAAACTATCAAAACTTGCAAAAATGTAGTCATTTTCATAAGAATTGGTGAATTTCTCAGTTTTACTTACCTACTCAAAACTGAATAAGCGAGACTCTTTAATGAGGGTCTTTTGTAGCTATATTAGTAACGAATATTTGTGGAAAACTTCAACAAGTTTCATAAAGTATTAGTGAAGATATTATGCAAACGGTATAACCAAAACAACAAAAAACACGTTCTATGAAAATACAGTTTTAAAAATCAGATAATAATTATTAACATAATTATAAGCAAAACAGAACTAACTCAAGGGATCCAGAACTATAAGCTTCACTTTCTTTGATGTCTTTTTTTAATATAAACTCTTTTCTTAGACTTCTTTACTTTTTCCTGTCTTTTTAAAATAAGAGATGACTATTTACAATGAATTAAAGCTCTATAATGGCCACTTTTAAATGCCTTTTTTTTTTTACAAAAAAACTTTCACATGGAATACTAAAACAATCAAAACATTTCCAATACAATTAATACCATCATTGAAACTTATGATGGCTGAACACACACCAATTGTAAGTACTTTTCTGCTACAATAAGTAGGTTTGGGACAGCGTGTCCATATAGTTCTATTTAAACACTCATTCATATTTTGCGTTTGGTCATGCAGGCATTATTCTAGCGAGAGTATTGACTTAATTCTTAAAAAAAAATTTTTTTTCAGTTATTCTAAGTGCATAAAGAATACTTGAAAACAAATTGAGATGGAATTACACAAGAAATAATTTTCGATAGAGGTGTTATAATTCTATAACATGGTTGCTAAGGGCGTTGCTAAGAGTAAAAATCTATACCAATATTAAGATAAGTTGAAATAACCTCAATTTGCTTTTTTTTTTATTTCGATGACAAATTAAGATTCTGTGATAAATTTTAATCTTAAAGCAATTATTATTGAAAAAATAAAAATTTTAAGATTTTCGCTTTTTTAATTGTATAGAAATACCTTAAAATTATCATCATAAGGCATTAAATCCATTTTATCAAATTGGATCAAGTCATTTTTATCTAAAAGATAAAAAAAAGCAGTTTTTGACAATATCACTTCAACGTGGCAAAATGTTGTGAGTAGAAAAGTTCAAAAATTGGTATTACGTCCATAATTGTTTTTGATTTAAATAAACGATTTACCTGAACAAATAACTAACACTATAAAATTGAAAACAAGCTTTTTGCACCGGTTAATTCTTTTATATATTGTGATGTTATGCATAACGATATTAATAAATTAATTGAATGAACATATAAATGGAACATGAATTTCAATATTGATAAATGTAAAATAATGCACTTCAGTAAAAACAATTAAAAAACCAATTATTACATGACTCATAATGACATAATAGCATACAATTTAAAATTGACTAGGCAGATTATAGC